TTTTGCTTTCCTTTTAAGTTGGATTAATGATGTCAAATTGAAGAAGAATTTATTTTTATGGCATGAAGGACCAAAAAACCCCCTAATTAGCATATGTCACATTTGTTTGTGGTCCCAGTTATCTGTGATGGTTCAGTGGCCCTGAGTCAGTCAGTCTCAACACTCTGGGAGATGGAGTGTTTCTACAGCCCATTGCCACCCAAGCAGGACTTTATGTGTGAACTTTGAGCGTTTCAGTTTTTCCAAAAAGTCTCTTAAAATTATTACAATTATATTAAAGTTTAAAAGAAGCAGAAATCAGATGCTGTCAGAGAATAACCATCACTTTATTCTTGTTATGTTAGACTTATACTATTGTTTTTGATGACCAGCGACTGTCCAGATCCCTATAGGTGGTTCAGGCAGAGCCAGAAAGCCGGAGTGGTGTCATGGTGTTTGGGCACTCCTGTATAGGAAGCCTAGGATGGATTCCCATTGCTGACTTCAGTCCGAGGACATGCTGTCAATGGTGAGAGGTTCGTGGATTGTTCAGTAGCAATTCATTGGACTGTAAGAAGGCTGATCAGTGCCATTTTTTCTGCAGCATAAAAATTGCAGGCCCATTTTCATGGATAGCAATGCTAGAGCTAAATGCCTTTTCCCTGGAGGAGGACAAACAAAAGGAAATCTGTACCAAGTATCTAGTGATCTAAGAAGAGATCAAAGAGTGATAGTGTTACAATTACCAATGATGAAATGCACACTTGTGCGCATTGCTCAGTACTATAGCAGGCATTCATTTAAGGGGAGTTTTTTTGCAGCATACAGCATTGAAAACACATGTCTAATAGGTGCATTCATTTTAATATGCTCATTCATTGAGCAGGCCTGATTAATTAGTGCGTGTCACCATCTGGTACTTACTGAGACTATTCATTTTTAAAATGTTGAAATTGTAGGGAATGTTGCACACCAATTAAGTTCCTTTTAATTGGATTATGTTAGTATAAAGTATTACTGGAGAAGGCCTTCATTGTGATTCAGCCAGCATGCATCTAAAGGAGACCCGCCAGCCTGAAATTACTTAGAACAAAGGGAAAATGCCTGAAATGCGTGTTTATTACTATCTTTATGCACTCCCCAAAGATGATGTCAACAAATAAGAGCCACAAAAATACTTCTGCATTTCAATGCAAAGTTCAGCTCCATGACATGAGGAGATCTCAGCTGATTACTTCATTTTTGCAACTGCAACTCTGAATCTGTCATTGTCTCCCTCTGACCTGGAAGATGAAATATGCTTTTGTGTCTGTTTGATGGCAACTTAACAGGGTCAGACTGAGCCCTCCTGTGTGCAGTTGTGTATCTGCTGAAATGAGGAGTATTATTGTCATTTACACAGAGTGATTCGGCCTTTAAAGCTGATAAACCATCTGAGCTGACTCAACCGTTTAGTGAAGTATCACGATCTGCTGGCTGCAGCACCACAGCAGAAGCAGAACTTGTCTGTCTGTACTTGTTCCTGTCACTGACTCACTTGGTGAATTTTAGTTACTTAACGTCACTGCACTGCAGTGTTTCCGTGTATAAATTGTGAATAGTTAAATTTACCAACTTACATAAAAGGCTTTGAGATGAAATACACAATGGTGATATCACATATTTACTGTTAATGCTTTTTTTAGAAGCCTGATGCTGGTTTGTAGTTAACATCTGAGGTTGTTATTGCTTTGGTTTTGTGGAGATTGAGTATCTTCAAGTAAGTTCTGTCATCCAAACTACTCGTTTCAGAAGATCCAGGAGCTGTGCGGAGTAGACATTCCCTCCCATTCCTCAGCAGTTAGGTGGGCTGTCAGGGAAGCTGGGAAGAAAAGCTATGTAATGGCTAGCAGCTTAAGAGATCTGATGTGTGACTGCCTGGATCTCTTGTTAACCTTTGTTTCAGAAAGTAGGATAAAAGTCTAGAAATGAACTACAGCAGGATATTTTTTTCTTGTTGTATTTGTGTGCGTTTTCATTACTGTCACTGGACTCTGCTGCCCCCTACCAAGCTGCAGCTGCTGTTAACAGCCATGGAAGCAATAGCCTGAACATGTGAGGAATGTTTTACATTTTTTAATACTGAAAGAAAAGTTCAGTTCTGTTATCACTCATAATCACTGTCACGATAATTATCACTCATAATAGGGTATCTGTAGTTGAAACAGTCAATATATTTTCTTTAAAGGGAGAGGAAAACATCAGAAAAATCACTATTGGTTTTACAGCAGTGAGGAAACTGCCTGAATTTTTTTTTTTTAGAATGCAGATATTTCTTTAGATGTATAAAGGTCACTATGAATTTAATTTGTAACAGAATAAGAGTGCTTCTGATTTCAAAGTATGGAAGTAGCACAGTGTTGGAATTCTTTTGGTTGTTTTCTAAAGATACATTTCCTCTAGTTTGAAGGTGCATGTTTCCTTTGTTCCAGCTGCAGGCAATGTTAAAGCATGCTCCAGGGCCTGTCATCCTGCAGGAGCACAAGCCCACTGGAAACCCAGATGTAGTTCATAAACTGGAGAAGTCAGTGGCTATGGTCCGTTCCACAGACTGTGTCAAAAATCATATTAGAGACTGTGGTTGTGTTTAAACCATTTCCATTTCCATTGAAGAGCAAAAATATCTATACATGTCTTAGGTATTTTCTGTGGACAAGTTGTGTCTGCATTTACACAGACACATCAACATGTATTTTATTTTTAAGCTGAATTGCTGCAGGTGGTACACCTGGGACGTGGGATGTATGTTCGCACAGAGCTATGACCATGCTGTTGTTTTTACTCTGACTGGAGTGCTGTGTTGTGGCTCTGCTATGGTTCCTGTAGTTTGCATTCGTATGTTGAATGTAGTGCTCATTCGGGTTAGAGGAAAACTGCCTAGTATCAGTGTATTGGAGCAAATGAGAGTGAGTACAGCCCGTGGTAAAACATAAAACTGTAGGCATATGAAAGCGTGCAATGGAGTGCTTTCCCATTTGTACCCCAACATTCCTAGCAGAAAATGCTTAGTCTGGAAGGCCATAAAGCTGTCTGGTTTGTGATAGGATTCTTAGAGTAAGTGCAGTTTACACAGTTTCAGAGAAATAATATCACCCAGTTAAATCTTATAAAACACACACATATGCACTAGCCCTTTTGTTTGAATTCTTTGGTCAGAGGTTTTATGTAATGGAGAAATATATTTTCCAAGAAAACATTTAGTTTAGATTCCTATTAGTGTAACTTTACTCCTTTTATTTGTTAAATACATGAAAAAGAGCTAACCAGAGTATAAAACTCCAGTGTGTGCGCACTCTCTCTCTCTGATTTTAGGAGAATTATTTTTTAATGTAATATTTCTGCTTACAAGATATGGGCTTGCAAAGTGTTGAAACAACAAATCTTGGCAGAGATAAAAAAAACACAAAAGATATTTTACTCTGTATATAGAAAACAAAGGCTGAAAGTTTGGGCAGATCTCTAACTGGCAGACTTTCTATCTCTTAGGTCATACAGAGAAAGCTTTTGGCACTGACTTTTTGGCAAAAAGCTTTGTCTGGAAACATATTTAGTCAGCGTATGAAATATGATAGCCCTGGTACCATGAATGTGTCTGAAGATACTCTAATAGAGTTAGACTTCAGCCCCATCTGGTGTTGGATCAGGATTGTTATATTAGAGTTTTCCAGCATAGTACAGCCCTTTGCCAAAACACAGAGCAGTACGTGAGGAGACTGACAAATTCATACAAGTGTCAATTTTACTAATGGTTTCTATTGTTTGCTACACGGATGAAAACCAGTTGTGCCTGTGGTGAATTCCAGCATAGCAGTCCTGCTGCTGAGTTACTAACCACGGGCTCTAGAGAGCTGCGTCTTTAACTGAATGGCTTTATTAATACCCTGCCAGTGTACTTCTGTGATCAGCAAGTATACTTCCACCTGAAACCTGTAAGAATATAAAATTAATGATTTTCAATGCCTGTGTTTGCAGAAGTTGTGGTGGACGTACAGATTGTTTTAGCTCAGTAAAATGTCTCCAATACTTTGAGTTATGCAACAGTGATGAAGAGACCAGACTTGTGAATTTGGCTTAGAAGGCTTAAGGTCTTCAGGCAGTAATTCATGAAACTCTCAAATCGTGGATACTCCAATGACTGTAAAGCCCAGGAGATGCATGTTTGGTTTTTATTTAAGGCTGATCATTTCAGGAAATAAAAGGGTTCACTCTGAAAGAGATTTTTCAATTGTTATTTTTGGAGGGGTTAGGTAGAAAAGCAACATGTGAAATAAAACGGGTACTAAAAATCCATAGCTTTGTTTTGAGACAAGAAGAATGGTTTATTGCCACTATTGTAAGCTAAAGCAGTGACTTTCTGGAAAGGTTTCCCCAGCATTTTTATCAGACTTTTCCAGGATAACCATCCAGCCTGCTCTTTCAACCAAAATACCTGTCCGGTTATACTTTGATGAAAAAAATGCTAAAACGGCAGTTTGGAATTGCTTGAACATATTTTGTAGCTTAAGCTGAGCTCATTCACATTCAAAGCTAAAACAAATTACCTCAATCGCATTTAGGAGAATAAACATACTCTTACTTTCCTGTCTCATGTTTAAGTAGTTATGTTGAAAGCAATGTGTGCTAATCTTCAGTTTTATATCCTCTTCCTAGCATTTGTTTTATTGGGCAAAATTAAAGGTCAATGGTCCTGAACTAGTCAAGAGAATTACTCTAAATTCTAAGTCATTGCCATTACTGTCTCTTTCTCTGCTTTCAGTAATACAGGGCTTAGCTGCCAAAGTTTTTATTCTTTATGTATGAGAAGAATGATAGTTGCAACTTTTTTTGCATTTCAGTTACACAGGCTCATAAATTTAGGTAAAAAGAGCTAAGACATCAGTAAAAGGCTACTTATTCCAAGTTGTTCATAGAATGGAAAATGTAAGTATAATGATCAACCTGTTTTTTCCCCATTCTTATCCTCATTCTCTTTTGTGTTTCAGAATGATCACTGCTCAAAACAGTAGCCATACTAAGTGGACAGAGTGGAAACATATGGATGAAATTCTTACCATGCACTGAACAGCACAGCATCAAGCGCAAAGCTCTGGGAAAATGTCTGCTTGCAACACTTTCACTGAACACGTCTGGAAACCTGGTGAATGTAAAAACTGCTTCAAGCCCAAAAGCTTGCATCAGTTACCCCCAGTATCGGAAAAAAAAAACCTCTCACATGGAAACCTGAAATCCAATGCAAACCAAAGTAACAGCCATCGTGGGAGAAATACAGGAAACTTCCGACCACCTGTGGCAAAGAAACCCACTATAGCTGTGAAACCCACCATGATGGTAGTAGATGGGCAGGGTGTATGTGGCGAAATCAGCACACCAGATCATTGTGAGAATAAATCAGTGCCTGCAGGTTGGAACCGAAACAAAGCTGTCTTGAACAAAAAACCACTGAACAATAATAATGAAGATGAAATTGAAGGTTATAGCCATGTTCATAGGCCTTACGGCAACAATGATGGTGTAGGTAAGATACCAAATAACAATAATAATGGACTGACAGAAGTTTTGAAGGAGATTGCGGGTTTGGATGCCACACCTCAGCTAACTGGAAATGAAATGAACTCAAGAGAAACCTTCCTGGGAAGAATAAATAATTGTTATAAGAGATCATTAGAAAGAAAGATCCCTCCAAGCTGCATGATGGGTGGAATGAAGGATTCACACAGTAAGCATGTTATTCTGAGTGGAAGCACTGAAGTAATAAGTAATGAAGGTGGACGTTTCTGTTACCCGGAGTTCTCTAGTGGAGATGAGAGTGAGGATGACGCGTTTTTTGGCAGCATGCAAGAAGAGCATGAGAGCTGGGATGAAAGTGATGAAGAGTTGCTAGCAATGGAAATTCGTATGAGGGGCCAACCTCGCTTTGCTAATTTTAGAGCTAACACCCTATCTCCTGTTCAGTTCTGTGTTGACAAAAAATGGAATACTGTGCCCCTTAGAAACAAGTCTCTCCAGCGGATCTGTGCAGTTGATTATGATGACAGTTATGATGAAATTTTAAATGGTTACGGGGAAGAGACTGTGATTCTTTATGGGCAAGAGAGCATGCAGAGCATGGTATCTTCTGATTCTACATCTCCTGATTCGTCTTTGACAGAAGAGTCTCGTTCCGGAACAACTAGCAGTTCTTCGCAGAAGCTCTGTAATGGAGGGTTATCTCCTAGTACTCCTCAGGACCTCAAATTGATTGAACCAGAATATGAAAGTCTTTGTGATAATCAACAAGTGAAGGATGTGTCAAAAGCTCCCAGAAATGTTCCGAAAAGTCTGGAAACTCACAAGGCAGTCCTTGCGCTTCGGTTAGAAGAGAAGGATGGCAAAATTGCTGTGCAGACTGATAAGCAAGAGAATAAAAGTTCTTCAGATGTTGCTGGTCAAGCTGTAACTATTAATTTGGTGCCTGTGGAAGAGCAAGCTAAACCTTACAGGGTGGTGAATATGGAACAACCAGTCTGCAAGCCATATACCATAGTAGATGTATCAGCTGCCATGACCACTGAATGTAAGGAGAACCAGACTGAAACCTCAGAAACCAAAAATACATCCTCTAACCCGAGCTCACCAGTAACTCCCGGCACGCCTGTTACATCCTCTGCAGCATCACCTGTACGAGTAAATACTAATCTGAAAAAATCCAGTGCAATCAGATATCAAGAAGTGTGGACTTCTAGTACGAGCCCAAGACAGAAGATACCAAAGGTGGAGTTAATTGCTAACAGCTCTGGACCTTCTGTTCCTCCCAGGAAGACAAGCCACAAATCAGCTCCTACTTCACCTACAGCTACAAACATTTCTTCAAAAACTATCCCAGTTAAGTCTCCCAATTTATCTGAGATAAAATTCAACAGCTACAATAATGCTGGCATGCCACCTTTTCCTATTATCATTCATGATGAGCCCACTTATGCTAAGAGCTCCAAAAATGCTATTAAAGTTCCTATTGTAATCAATCCAAATGCATATGATAACCTGGCTATCTATAAAAGTTTTCTAGGGACCAGCGGAGAGCTGTCCATCAAAGATAAAACTACTAGTGTAATAAGCCACACATATGAAGAAATAGAAACAGAAAGCAAAATGACTGAAGCCATAGGAAGTAAACCCACTGAATGTTCCCAAGCGAAGGGGGTGACTAATAGCTCTGAATGCAGGCTGGGTTCTGTGGCTCAAAAGGTCCAAGAGTTTAATAGCTGTCTCAGTAAAAGTCAGATATCACCACAAAGAAGTCATAGTTCTGACCACAGCTCCCCATCGAGAGCTCAAAAGACAACACAAGAGCCTGCAGCAAAAATAGACATAACACCAGAGGCTTCTGTTGGCAGCAGCAGCAGTGGTAGAGAGAACGCGAGCACGGTGCTTTCACAGATCGTGGCTTCTATCCAGCCTCCGCAGTCTCCTCCAGAAACGCCTCAGTCTGGGCCCAAGTCTTGTAGCGTAGAGGAACTGTATTCCTTACCCCCTGATGCAGATGCTACTAAAAACACCCTGGTACGACCCAAATCTCTGTTTACGTCACAGTCTGAAATAGAGTCATCCAAGACGGTGGAAAACACTGCCGTTAAAATGCAGAAAGACTCACTTTCACAGCCGGTTGCCACTCACTCTCCAAAGCCGGTGAGAACCACGCCAAATACCACAAGTCCCAAAACAGAGCAAGCGCCACCGTTTCCTCCTCCACGGTCCACTTCGTCACCCTATCATGCAAGTAACTTGTTGCAAAGACATTTCAGCAATTGGACCAAACCAAACAGTCCCACCAGGTCGACAGAGGCTGAATCAATCCTTCATTCAGAAGGTCGGCGAGCTGCTGATGCGAAACCCAAACGCTGGATATCATTTAAGAGCTTCTTCCGCCGCAGGAAAACCGATGATGAGGAAGACAAAGAGAAAGAAAAAGAGAAAGGAAAATTGGTGGGTCTTGATGGAACTGTCATACATATGCTCCCCCCTCCTCCAGTTCAACGTCATCACTGGTTCAGTGAGGCCAAGTCAGACTCCAGTGAGAAGCCGTCGATTGTTTTCATGTATAGATGTGACCCGGCACAACCTGAACCAAAGGCTGATGTTCAGAACAAGAGTGGAGTGGAGTCTGCTATCGCAGATGCACTAGCAAAAGACAAAGGAGAAACGCAGGAAAAGTCTCCAGAGAGCTCTGAACAGAAAATAGAGAGTCACTCATCACCAGCTCCAATTCCCAAGAAAATCCCCAGGTATTATAATCAGCTTATCTTTTTTAGTCACTTAGTCATGAACTATCCTGTACGTACTGCTGAAAAGGGGAGAAATTAAGGAGTTTTGTTACATTAAGTGTAATTTTTTCAAAGTATATTTGTTTTAGGTAACTTAAAGCATAATTTTAAAACCTTTGTGTTACACTGGATATTAGAGAAGATTAAAAAAAGTCACTAGAAACAGCACCTGATATTTGGAGTTTGCATTGCAGGTTCACTAATCTCTCATAATAGACACGTTACATTGAATCAGATACATTTTCTGGAATTTCTAATTTATGCTATAGGTGACTAAAGAATTTCTCCACAGAAACAGAAGGAAACTATCAAAAAGTATAATAGAAATTAAAAGATCTGTGACTCATAAAAGGTGGTATGTTAACTTTATCTCACATACCTAAGAATACAAAGGATGCTAATGAACTTGATGCTACACTGCAACATCACTGCAGCACTCCCAAAACAAACCATATAAAAAAGTAAAAATAGAATTAGATTATCTGTAAAATAATCTATCTTTAGAGATTAATATACTTTGTCCCCTAACAGTATTGGATTCAGTAGAGCTGGTCACTCCATTTCTGCCTGACAATTTTGTTCAGTGATTTCATTTTTGATTTTTTTTAAAACCAGAATTTACTGATTCATTGTTTCAATTTCTGTGTAAGTATTTGGTTCATGCTAGTTGAACATTTTAGGTCTGTCTCGTGGTTTAGGTCTGTTCTCTTATCAAGGTTACCCATGCTTTGTTGGTTGTCTCTGAACACAAAGAACTGTGTTTAGTTCCAGATAGGAACATACCACTGAGTTCCTATAGCTCATGACAGTGCATAACCTAAGAGGGCTGCAGACATTTCTTGCAGTTGGTCACATGGGCATAGTATGCATTTCAGTGAGTATAGACCACAGCTCTGGATGTATTAGAATATGTCTTCCAATGTTATTATACAAACCAATTCAAAAATAGCTTCAAACTTGCATTATTTAGTTCATTATAACAACAATTAGTGGTAGGAAATGAAAAATTTTATAATCTTTGAGCTATGTGTGAGCCTCAGAAAATGTATCATGGCAGTGTTCTTTGTTTTTCTTTCTCCATTGTCTATACAAGAAAGTTGCAGTGATTTTTAGTTAAATGGCTTTAAAGTTGACTTAAACTAACAGAAATCTGTGTGAGCATAGTCTGAGTTTACCATAAACTGACTGCTGTTTGTCTTAAAGTAAAATAACTATGTCTTAAACTAACCAAGAGTGACCATTTGCATCAAGTGTAATTAAATCACTTTTATATCTTATGTTGGGAACACTGATACAGCATTTTCATGAAGATCAGGACTGCTTTTCAGACTTACTTGCCTTTTGTCAGATGTGGACAGCTTTGGGTTTTGTAATGTAAGGTGGTGATAGGGTTTGTCATAGTATGATATGAAGCTGGTTTCTGTAGATATCCATTCTAACTAATTGCCCCAAATATAAGATAGGATGGTGTCCAAAATCTTAGTGTACTGTCTGTTTCTGCAGAGGTAGATGAATCGTCATCTCAGGGTCAAAAATTTTATTTAGAAAAAATTTTTTTAAAGTATGTGAAAATTAAAAAATAGAATTTTTTTTTTTAATCCCATTACAAATTGTGGGTGTGAGTTTCAGAAACATTAAGCACTTTCACAAAGTATTAAACTCAGTAGGAGCTGTAAGCACTCAGCATCTCTGTAAGATGTACAGTACCACAATGATCCGGGGAGGGGCAGTGACAAAAGGGAGTGTCCCTGCATTTACAGTGCATATTACAGTTTAAGACTGAAGACAGTGGGGAATGTACCCAGGGCTAGAATAACCCTTGATAGGAGTCGAGTCTCTCTAGACTTACCCTAAATGAAATGGGGAGAAGTAGACAGTTTAGAGAGCAACTTAAAGAATTGGAGAAGTCTGTACTCTCCACCCCACTTTAGAGGAACCCATTTTTTCTGTTATCTCCTGGGGAACCTAGAGAAAATTAGGTTGTACCAACATTATTTGGTTTCTTAGCAGCATTAACAAATACATTGCCATCATCAGCAGATTCACTTGCTCCCACCTCCTTAGTGACCCACTCTGGTGCTGGCAAAGCAGTTCATGTGGTCACCTGCGGTGAACCAGACTGGGGAAGTGACCCAAGTGTAAAATAACTTTGCAGTTATTTTTCAGCCAGATCAATTCGCTCTTCTGACAGGGGGAACAGTCAGGAAGGAGCAGCTGCTTATCTCGGTGGTAAAAGGGCAATTAATGGCTGCAGTCATAGTGGGCACTTGTTCTTAGGCTACCCTAGAGATGGTGCTATTATAATGTTTTATTTTTTTGCACTGTTACTGGAATACCTTCTGCCCTTACTATTGAAGGCAATTGGTTATTCTGTTGTCTCATTCACTTATTCCAAAACGTTTGTTTACTCTTTATTTTTCTGCAAGTCATGATGATACCAGCTAAAATTATATCTTGCAGTTTTCCCGGGTGAAAATTGGCATTTTCCAAATGTTAGAATTGGAATTTCTTCTTTCTAACAATATTGTTTTATGTTTTCTACAAATTTCAAAGAAAATACACTGAAGTGCTGAGAAACACATTGTGGGAACACTGGACAGTGGATATCTTTATCCTTCAGGAGTTATATTTAATTACCTTGATGCAATTTGATGCCTTAAGTTATTTTGTTTTTTACTTAATTTTTGTTAAAGAGACCAAGTGAAACCTTATAATGCCAAAAAATGAAGGGGTTTTTTGTTTGTTTAAGGATTTTAGCTTTTGTTTTTAATATCTCAGTAGGTGAGAATCAGGATTGTCAACTTCCATTTTGGCACAAGCAGGAAACATAACAGACAAGAGGCTATATTTGTCTTGTGTTAACTCTTCAGGTATTAGTAAGAGATTAGTGTTAATTCAGGCTAAAATATGTGCATGGAAAAGATGTTTAAAAACTTCAGTTAAACTTGCAAACACTTAACTTTCCTAACTCAGGTTAGGTGATGCTTTCCTAGCTCATAATGCCAACGACAGTAAGCTCACTGAAAAACCGAACTGATGATCCAGAAAATAAACAAGTTTTAAAATGTCAGATTACTGGCAGGGGGTCTGGAAATCAAATTAAATTAAGATAGAATATTTCCTTCCTTTGCAATGAATTACAAGGCTGCTAAAGATGATAACATAACTACAAAACAGGGCTGAATGTATTTAAAGTTATCACTAGAAAGGTCAGTTTTTCCCTTTGAACAACACTTGCAAAATACTCAGTTCTTTGCAAAGCTGAAAGCTATCTCTCTGTTATACAAAAGAACTTGCTTTTGTTTCATCCATGTGATTGTTTCTGTTTGATGCCAGGATGGTGGTTCAAAAGGAGCTAGCAAATACTAATGTATTTAATTTACAAAAAATCTGTGGATACATTTTTTGCTAAAAATCAGCATTCACATCAGCTTTTATCATTAACTGGAATGAAAATCAGGTGTTCTTAGAACACCTGTAGTTCATGATGCAGCAGTTATTCTCAGGCAAAACCTAAAACTGACCTCTAAAAAGAGAACATGATATTTTTGGCCCAAGTCGCTGTAATTGATGAAGGTGGTACAGCACAGTGTGGAGTCCACTCAGAAGTTTAAAAAAAAAAAAAAGATTCTTCAAAGGCTTTGTTATCTAGTAGAGTTTCAGAAGATAAAGGTTTCTCTTCTTCATTGAAAGATCACTGCTTATACCCAGTAGCAGCTTTTTAAATTGAGACGTTTCCTGAAAGAAAACTGCAGCACAGCCTTCTGATTCTTCCTTTCCTATCTTCATAAACCACATCAGAGCTGAACTACAACCTCATTCAGCACTGGTTTAGATGGCAGTGCCTTTGTAAATCAAGGTACAACTGATTTGTGCACAGCCATTTCCATTTCAGTTATGTATTAAGCTGAATAGTTTCCTTTCATAGCTACAAGTCAGCCATAACTTTCCTTTAGAGGATCTTTGGGCCAGTCTTGGATGAACTAAAGAGAAAACTGTATGTTTACTGAAATACTTCCTTCAAGTAGTGAGGTCTAGATATTCATTCCATTCTGCTTTAGATAAGATAGCCTTTCTTCATAGCTAAAGTTGGGATTACCAATCCAATTCCTAAAATGGTGTTAGTCAAAGGGAGTTGAGCTCACAGTCGACAGATATGAGTTCCATCGTTCACATTTGCAGAACATCACGATCCTGTTGTATCTTGCTTCCAAAAGGAGTGAAATTCTTACACATATTTTAAAGTTTTGGTTTGAATGTTTTTCTTAAAAGCCATGCTTCTCCATTGCAGTTACACACTACATCATCAATTGGTGTTCTTTTAAGGCTATTTTTTGTTAAAATAGCCCCTTGGCATTTCACTGGACACTTTCATGGGCTCATATCAAAGCTTTTGGAAATGTCTTGTTATCCTTCAAATCTTACTCCAGTGCCACACTCATAGTACAAATAGTTCACCTTGAGTAACTTCCAGACAGACTGTTGCTCCTAAAATGAACATAAATGTCAATGACAGATGAGAATCTTTTAGAAAACTGGCCAAAAACTTGCCCAGTTGTGTCCTGCCATGGAAATGCTTCAGTAGTGTAAGTGATCCTCAAATGCTTTTTGTTGTGCTGATTGCCTTGAGGTTGCTGATGACTTTTCAACACTTTGCTTTAAATTACAGTAAGACAAACCTGACCTCAAAAATCTGAGTTAGGCTTTGAATTTCCACAATACAGGCAATGGAGAAAGACAATTCCAATGAGGTGAGTTAGAGCATCAAGACTTAAAAGGCCCCGTATGGGTTATTTCTTCAGCGGGTTTTTTTTAGTATTTTCTGTTATGCCACTAACTGTTAAGGAAAAAAATAGAGGAGACTATGGGGCTAGGGCTTTACCACAGTGCACATCGTCTGTGGTGTGGACCTCAAGAACCTGGACAGTGTAGGGAATGAAGCTTACAGGTAGGCTTTCTTG